AATTTTTGGACATTTCACAGAAGCGTCGGACACGCATGTCCGTGTCCGAAAAGTATCTGACATCGGTACGAGACCCCTAGGAGGAGTGTCCGTGCTTCATAAAATTTAATACGAGACCCCTAGGAGGAGTGTCCGTGCTTCATAAAATTTAACCTAAACCAATCATATACTGACCTATATGTTATCAGCTACACTATAACACACCCTCCCACTTAACAACCCAAGATCATTGAAGAGTAAAACCTATAAAGTAACAATAAAATCAAAATTAAATAATAATAATAACAAAGTAACATACACCAGTACACCCTTTTATAACCTCACGTATATAACCCTTTATATACATGTAAATATACATATACATATATATAACAAATTAAAATAGTTTATATGTATATGTATATATGTACATATATATATACATACATATAAATATATATATATATCACACTTTAATATAAATATAAATATATATATATTTTTTATATCTGCCTGCACATACAACTATGGAACAAAATGTCAGCTCGTTTAAGCTTCTTCCTGATGGCCCAACACCATTTGGTTGGCCCACACTACAAGCCCAAAACCTTCTTTAAATTTAAATATAAAACTAAAATAAAATAATTAATTTAAAACCCTAAACATCTAAATAAATAAAAGCAAATAAACAAACAATTAATATCTCATAAAACAAAGATACATTAAATAATTATAACTCAGTGACAATTAATTACACATTACATAAATAACATTAAGTCACATAGCCATAGAAAATAAAGAATTTAAATAAAAACTACGCATGAAATAAATAACATTTAAAGAACAAATAATTCACATAACCACGTAGATAATTAAAATAAAATAGTCGGTGGCAGCTGGCAGCATTGTATGTTGAATGCACCGGCATTGTATGTTGAATGGCGCATTGTACAACCATCAAAAGTAATTTATTAAATAAAATGGTAGGAAATAAAGTAGTAGACATTGAATGGCGCGTTGTACAGGCATCAATAGTATTTTACAGCTATCAAATTATGTGTACAAGTATCAAATAAAGTAGTAGGCTCGGAATCAAATCAAGTAGATAGTTGAAGATAAGTATCAAATAAAGTAGTAGGTAGTATAGTCAGTAGGCAGTTCGGAATCAAATTAAGTAGATAGTTGATCGAAGATGTTTCAAGAGCAGAAGAATCACTGACCGTGGCAGGCATGTTTCAAAAGTATTCAATGCACGCCTTTATTATTTCATTTTATTTTTATTTTTTTCTTTCAAAATCACATGTTCTCCTTTATTTAAGGAGCGTGAAGGAAGAAAATTTTTTTACCTTCATAATCCTAAAGATAAACTTCCTTTCTCTCACACTGTTCTTCTCTTTGTGATGGACACTGTCAATGTAAAATGGGAGACAATGTTTAGTCTTTAATTTCGAAATCTGGTCTAATAAATTTATGATTTTTGTACTCCATTCCTTCTTGTATTTATATCCGGGCCCCCCTTCAACGTGAAAGAGCATCTGAGGCTCTAAATGATGGACTTTGTCTTTTTGAGTGTGACTTTCTTGCTGGGTTACGCTTATTTTTTCCTCCTTTTATTAGAAAAATTTTCTTCTTCCTCCATATTACACCCGGACAACTTACCCCAAATGTCTGGAAAGTTTTAATAAAATGTCTTGTCTTATGGAAAACATGTGGTAACCCTCCCTTAACTATTAGCAAGGTCTTGCTCTGTTATATTCTAAAAAGGGTAGAACGATGGTGGTGGAACCTAACCAGCCGATGTGAGTGTCTCTTAATTGAGGGACTATCCAAATCCAATTTGGAGTGGAGAAGTCGGTTCTTATTTGTCTTAAGAAGGAACTGTGAATTTTTTTACGGTCAAGTTAGTACTTGACGATTGAATATCGGCGAAAGGATTAAATATGATATTTATGGTATACCTTTTTAGGTTGACCAATGACTTATTTTATAAAAGCATTAATGGTGGTAGTCTTCTATCATGAAACTGATTTATTTTCCCTGTCCATTACAATTTGTAAGAGTCATCGGAGAGGGCAGTAGTTGTTTCTATCTCATTCAGTTTATCCACATCGTTTGAGTCTCTATGCCACTTAGAATTCTTAACGAGTCGAATATTTCGCATACAGGGACCAATTACACTATGAATTTTTTTCTCTGTAATGGCACTTGGGGTAACAAAGTCTCAGCCAACATAACACACACACAATATACAAACACAAATATAGGCACACAGAGTTTACAGGACCAAGTCCTAACCTTTTTATCTTATTGAATAAAATATAAAAGACACAATTTTCGTATAAGAGACTCAGAATGTACATTGCATACTGATAAGAAGTTTTTACATAGGAAGTTTAACTGTCACACAAGTCTATAAATCAGGATAAACTCCAGTATCTCGAAAAAGATAAAAGGTATAACACTCTTATTTTAATGTAACTTGACACCCCTATAAAGAGGGTGTTCGGATCAACAGAAAAAGGGACAGCACAAATCCTTAAGAAAGTCATTTCACTTTCTTTCCACCCTTCTAATTTAGCACTAACTTGATTGTCTAAGGTTTTTAGGACGGTACCACACCAGTACCCCTCGATCACCTTTATCTTCCTTTTTTAGGTACGACCAGGGGCGGAGCTAGAAGGGGTCAGCAGGGGCATGGTCGTCCTAAAATTTTCATAATTTTTTTTTTTTTTTATAAATGGAAAATTTTTTTTATTACCTCTTAATTATTAATTAATTTGTAAATTTTAATTCTAATTAAAATTTTCAATTGCCCCTCAATCTTTTTCAAAACACATATATTGACCCAAAATAAAGAGTTTGAAAATAAATTTAATTTGTTTATCCTTGAAATTTAAATATTTTTTAACTTGCACTCTTTTAGCTATACTTTTAAAAACTCAAATATTATGAAACAAAAATTTAAGCTCATTATTATTATAGTCATTTTTTTTTGGTAAATAATTATTGTAGTTGTTAACTCAACACATTGTTATTTTATTTATATAGACATGCACAAAATCTATAATATTAATTCAAGAGAGAAAAAAAAGAAAAAAAAAATAATTAATGTTCCCTCGTGGTAAAAATGCATGAAGCATTTTTTGTCAAATATTTTTGTAAAATGGTATTTACAAGAAAATATCTAAAATTATATAACAATTTTTATTGGCAAGTCCTATGAATATTTGGAAAAAATATAAACTAAAGTATTGTGAGACTCTCAATAACAATAATAATATCATCTATATACTTCTAGTTATTACTTTCTAAATAACAAATGTTATAGCTATTTGTATCTTGTTTAATAGCTCAATAATAATCTTGTTAAATTTTGAGTTAAAATTCTTTATATTGTTGAATTGTGGAATCTACTTAATTTTCTTCTTCCGAAAATTATATTTAAAAAAAAATTAAAACAATTTATAAAGAAAATTTGATTTTCTAACAATGCTTATTTCTTTACATTTATTATCCATATTTTTCTTGTAACATAAATATATATATATTTTTTTTTGTCAAAGTTGCATTTTTTTATTTTTGAATTTTCTCAACATATATGTACTATGACAAATATTTAAAAATAAATTATATTACAATTGATTTATAAGTTTTTTTAAAAACTTTTGTTACATAGTTCAAATTTAGCCCTCCTAACCTAAATTCCTGGCTCCGCCCTTGGGTACGACGTCGCTTTGAGTCGCCGCGGAACCTTACATCATCAGTAACTATAATTTAGCATCATAGTTTTGTAAAAAAAGCGGGGGAGGGGCATGGGGGGCACCTTGCCAAACCCACATTTGATCGTACAACGCTTATCGGCTCCACTTAACATTAACTTTGATCTTTTTATAACTAGTATGCTTAAAGGTATTATTTATACATATTCAAACAATATTTAGTTATTTTTCTCTCAGTTTATCTGTAATTTGTACTATTCCAATCATCTTTCAAATAGAAAAAAAAATTTATTTATTATTTTCAATAACAATATGGTCGGCCTGTTTGGTATTGGTCTTTAAATTTGGGCCGATATCAAGTTAGGACAGCTAATTTTTGTTTGAAATAGTTCATAACATATTAGATTTTTTAATTCAAATTTGGTGATATGGTGTGTTTTGGTATTGTAACAAGAAAAAAATAAATTTTAGAAATTTTTAAAACAAATTTTCGTTACCAAACATGATTTCAATTTCTACCCAAAATACTCCTACGACAAAACAATACCTAAAACATATTGCATGCCAAACGGGCTGTACACTATTTTCTGTTTAATTTTTCATCTTCTATACCAAATATAGCATAAAAGATTTTTCACCGTGATAATAAAAATTCTATAATAGTTACTAGGAATTAAGATTTTTGTTGCGATACAAAAGGCCTTTTTTTGAACCATGATACATTTATTCGTAGACCATTTTTGAATCCATTAAAATATAAAAATCTTTGGTATTATACATTTGTGCAAAAACAAAGTACAGCTTTTATCTTGCTTATTAATAAAAAAAAAAATAGACCTTTTATTTATAAGAATATATTAGTAATAGAAAATTAACACTTCCCCCATCCCGTCCCATTTAAAGTGTTATTATTTGAAATCTAACCGCTTAAGACGCTGAAATACCCAATTTACTAATATGGTTAATTGTAACTGTTTATTTTATTTTTTATAAATTTAATAGAATGATATTTAGGTGCTCACTAGTGAAAATTTATATTATTTTCACTAGTGATATGGATCAATAATAAATTATCATTTATGTAATTTGGTTGTGATTTAGTAAGTGTGTATTTACCCATCATAATAAATTATTATTTCTATAATGATATGTCTATTTATTATTGACCTACATTATTAATGACATTATTAATGAGAACGGTGTATATTCTCGCTAGGGAGAATCTAAGGGACATATTAATAATTTTAAAAAAATAATATTTCGCATATCTCGATCCATTATTTTGGGACAGCTAAAGTGGACACTGAAGTAATTTTCTCATTCCGCGTGGAAGATGTTTCAGAAATACCCTGGAACGATGCACACTGCCCAGTGCTCGGTGGGAGTTCCACAAATTCCCGCCAAAGTCCACCGACCTAAACAATTCGCGGGAATTTCCCGCCTTCTTGCAGACTATATTCAAGGACAATTTACCCTTTTCAATCTTCATTCTTCAGGCAATTAGGTCTCTTTCTCTTTCTACATTTCTATGGCTTCTTCACGACGCCCCAGCAATGGTCGATCACCGCTGGTAAATCCACAGCGACAAATCACATCGTTCTTCTCCAAGACATCATCATCTTCCCCTTCCCCTTCCCCTTCCCCTTCCCCTTCCCCTCTTATTTCCAAACAAAACCCTAAACAGAAACCCAGCCCAAGCCTTAGCCCTAGCCCTAGCCCGACCACCCCTTCTCCTATTCAGACCAAACAAAAGAAGCCCCTTTTGGTCATTGGTCCATCTCCAACTTCTCCTTCAACTCCTGCTTCGGATACCGCGGCAACGCCCAAGACCGCCGATAAATGTTACGGCCAAGAAGTTGTGAACAGGAGAATCCGGGTTTACTGGCCGTTGGATCAATCTTGGTACGAAGGTTGTGTTAAATCGTTCAATAAATTTTCCGGTAAGCATTTGGTTCAGTACGACGATGCTGATGAGGAACTCTTGGATCTTGCCAAGGAAAAGTTGGAGTGGGATGAGAAGGAAAAAAGCACAAAGACGTTTCGCCGACTGCGTCGTCGAGTTTCAGTCATAGAAGATGAAGAGGTGGAAAGTGGCGGAGACAATTCCTCTGATGAGGATTGGGGAAAGAATGCAGAAAAAGAAGCGGACGAGGATGTCTCTGAAGATATGGATTTGGATAATGAAGAGGATGGGGTGGGAAGTGCAAAACGAACGGGTGGCAAGAATTCAGATTCAAGAAAACGCAAGACGAATGGAGGAGGGGTGTTAGATTCTTGTAAGAAGAGCAAGAATGGAGGAGATGTTGAGAAGAGAACATTTCGGGTTTCTTTAGATGGCAATGCAGGCAAATTGATGGAACCTACAAATAACAATGACAGTAAGTGATGTCTAAGAAGTTTTATCTTTATCTTTTTTATGGATTATATATAAATTCAAAGTGACACTTTGTTTCCTTAATTGCAAATGTGGGATATCCCAGCTCTATGACTTATAATCATTAGATCTTCTTATATTAGAATAAACTTTAATAGGCTTCCTCGTCAAAATCTAGAATAAACTTTAATAGGCTTCCTCGTCAAAATCTTGATTGCATGTTGTTAAGTTCCTTTTATCTTAGTAACAAGAGCTGCGGCGGTATTACTTTCTGATTACAAAGATAATGAGCAAAACCAGTGGATTGGAACGAAGCCCTTACAAGAAACAATTGAATTCAATCCTTTGTATAAGGGTTGCAAATCTTAATTCGAATGGTTGCATTGCATATTGCTGTCTATACTTCACTAAGTTCCATAATATATATATTTTTACTTTCCTTTCCTTTTGCAACTCTTATTTTGAGTGAGCAGTACGCTATTAACTTCATGTTAATTCTTTTTCCACGGAAACCCGTATTGAACGCAAAGCATGCCTTACTGCAGGCTGGAAGGCTTCTCATGCTGTTGATAATGTTCTAACGGGGGATGCTGCAGAAAGGTTTGCTCCGCGTGAAGGACAGAAGTTGTACTTCCTTGGGAAGTAAGTTTATATAGCAATTTTTTATTTTTTATTTTCCCTTCAATATATCACTTTCCAATATATTTTGTTGTATAGTATAGCAGCTGTGAGAGAATGAGCAAACCATTGTTTGCTTTTCTATATAAAAATTACTGTATCTTAAATTATTGTTTTTCCTCTGATTGAGAAGAGGGAATAATCAGGAATCTTAATCCCCTTTTATCTTCTTAATTTATAGTCATTCACTTTCTTTTTCTTTTTAAGTTCTTTTTCTTTTAATGTGGATGTTCTATTCCCTACCATTCATTGCTTTTTTGCTCAAACAGAGACCGTAGGGATGCCAATAGAAGACAACCGGGAGATATAAATTATGATCCAAAAACACTTTACTTGCCTCCTGATTTCTTGAAGAGTTTAACTGGTGGCCAGGTAATTGTTTTTATATGATAACTGGGTCCACAGCTCTTTGATGTTTATCTTGTGATGCAATTCACTAATTGTGTTCTCTTATTAATTATGTAGAGACAATGGTGGGAGTTTAAGTCAAAGCATATGGACAAGGTTCTATTTTTCAAGGTAATACCTGCAGTACACAGGATGAAAAGTTCCATGTTGTCAATTTGCCATCAAGTTTTTTACTGTCACTCATGCAACCAGAATATAATTATTTCGTCACTGTTGCGGCAGATGGGCAAATTTTATGAAATTTTTGAGATGGATGCACATATAGGAGCAAAAGAACTTGATCTGCAGTATATGAAGGTATCATTGATTGAGATTTTATTGGTCCTTGCATGTTGGTTGTGTTGTTTCTGTTTTTTTTACATTATCTTTTGCTGTTATAGAGGATAAATCAATCAATTATCAGGGAATTATGAACTGAAAGCAGTTATTTGCTATACTCTGTCCATAGTTTGGGCATTTATTACTTTCTTGATTTTTATTACCAGAATTTATATTTGACATCTACCTCATTCTAGGGTGACCAACCTCACTGTGGATTTCCGGAGAAGAAATTTTCAATGAATGTGGAGAAGTTGGCTCGAAAGGTTGGCCCCATATATCTATATCTATGTCAAGTTCTAATGCTCTTATTTGATTTGTTGCACTTATTTTCTTTGATTAGCCCATTTTTTTTTTGGAGATAATTATAATTTGAGCTGCCTTGACAGAGCAGGGTTATAGGGTTCTTGTTGTGGAGCAAACAGAGACTCCTGAACAGTTGGAGATCCGTCGCAAAGAGAAGGGTTCTAAAGATAAGGTCATTTTTGCTTCTTAAGACCCCAAGATAGATGAATACCAATTATCTTTCTTACATTTCTGTAGAACCGTCTTTCAGATTGACATTTTGTCCTTGGTCTATAGGTTGTGAAACGTGAAATATGTGCAGTGGTTACGAAAGGAACCTTAACTGAAGGAGAGATGCTATCAACGAACCCTGATGCTTCTTACATCATGGCAGTGAATGAAAGCTGTCAAATTTCAGCAAATCAACAGAAGCGTATATTTGGTGTCTGTGTGGTTGATGTTGCTACAAGCAAGATTATTCTTGGACAGGTGCAAATCGATAATTTTCAACTTCATACATATCATATAGGATATAACGGACTAATATGCCACACTAGATTCTTTAGTCCCTTATTGTGGGGTATTGTTTACTAGTGTGATCATACACATCTATCTTTGTGAGATGCTGGTCCGAACACCTCACATCACTCGATAAATCTGTAATCCTAACTATTTGGGAATATTTGATGGCCTCAAGAGTATCATGCGCCCAAGGGCCAATATGGCACATGACGGGTGTTGATGGGTTTTGGTTGGTCATTCTTGTTTTGTTCGAACACAAGTACTGAATTTGAAATTGTCAATCCAAACATGAAAGAATCAATGGACGAGTCAATATCCTAAATTTGGACATGACCTGTTTATTAAATGGAATAAATTGAACATTCAACTCACGCATTAGACAAGGATATCCATTAAAAAAACAATAAAAGAAAAAAAGAAACGAAGAATAAAAACTTATGCATTCATAATGAACATATCAAATTCTGCATGTGTGCTTATCTGCAGTTTTATGCTTTTTGTAGATGTGACCTTACTGATTTTTTGTGAATACTATTTAATATAATGTCGAGATCATATTGTCATTGGGTATACATTTATCTTTGAAGTCTATTACTTTCTGTATATTCTATTTGACTATGCTGGCTTTTCTGTCACCAGTTTGAGGATGATCCAGAGTGCAGTGCCTTGTGTTGTCTATTATCTGAACTAAGGCCAGTGGAAATTATAAAACCTTCAAAATTGCTCAGCCCTGAAACTGAGAGAATACTGCTGCGACATACAAGAAGTCCTTTAGTCAATGAGTTACTCCCACATTTGGAATTCTGGGATGCAGAAAGAACTCTGCGCGAAGTGAAAGATATCTACAGGCGTGTTAATGGTCAACCAGTTTTTTCGTCTTCAAAGGTAGCAAATTCACAAGCTATTGATTCCTCTGTTGAGGATTTGTGCTGCCTACCAGATGTTTTATCTGAGCTCGTGAGTGCAGGCGAGAAGGGCAACTATGCTCTTTCAGCTCTTGGAGGCACTCTTTTCTACCTAAAGCAGGCTTTTCTGGATGAAACTTTGCTTAGATTTGCAAACTTTGAGTTACTTCCCTGCTCTGGTTTCAGTGATATCGCTCATAAACCATACATGGTTCTTGATGCTGCTGCACTGGAGAACCTTGAGATATTCGAGAACAGCAGAAATGGAGACTCTTCAGGGTAACTTTGGCATATTCTCGTGTCCATTTAAAGGTCATGTTGTTAACCTTGTTCTGAGGATATTTGTTTGTGTATGAAGGACACTGTATGCGCAACTGAACCATTGCATTACAGCATTTGGGAAAAGGTTACTCAAATCATGGCTTGCAAGACCCTTGTATCATTTGGGGTCAATTAAGGAACGCCAAGATGCTGTAGCAGGTCTTAAGGTACTCTCAATTTTAAATTTAATTTATTTAATTTAAATTTTTATTTTTTATTTTTTATTTTTATTTTTGTTACTTTTGTTGAGTCAGTTTCATTATTACTATATACCGAAGACTTCTGCTTAGCATTCTCTGGATTGCTTTGGAGAATGAACTCTCATAAAATTTATATTGCGTCATGGTATTTTTTTTTTTTTTTTGGAAAAGGTGAGTTCTCTGGTAAGTTGAAATAATTGGGGAAGTGCGAAAAATACATATTAGAAAGTCTGGAGTAACAAAGAAAAAAAAAGTAAACATACTCGACAATAATCATTTCATTAAATTGGTTGGCGATGCTGGTTCTAGGGAGTAGAATCTTTAAATTACATCACATTGTGGATGTTATGAAAAAATGTTTTGAATCTTCTCTTTTCCCCCTTTGCCTCATTGGAACTTGACGTTAATTTCCCCTTGAACCACAACCTTTTATATAACCTATTAGTGAATTCTAGAATGTGAACGAAAGCTAATTCCTCAGTTTTGTTATGGTAAAATATCGCTCCATGGTTGCCTTGAAGGATGCCACCAATGGTCATTTATAAGGTCATCAGTTCTGATGTGAAAATTAAAGACATCAGTAATTTCTGATTTTTTTTGCCATGGCCATAGAAGCTTGAGAACTCTTATAGTTTTAATTTTATGATTTCTAGTTTCTCGTCTGTCATTAATTATCATGTCCCTTTTCACCAATTTTGCATATAAAGTCAATGGGCTTCAAGATACTAGAATAATGTATGCAGATTCATGTTGCTAATTTTAGCATGCTCTATGTCTGGACCTTGTAGTCTCTTTCCTTTTACATTTCTTCCGCATTTGGTAATTTCCATTAAGTGCTTTTCTGGTTTGTTCACAAGTTTAACAATATTTTCTACGCCGAATATTTTGATATTTTTAGGTCTAATTTTTAAGTTAGAACTTCCAGTGCTTTTTTATTTATTAACTTTTTAAATATTTTTTTGAACCTTGCCTACGCAATTAATTAAATTGCTAGTTGCTGTATACTCCAAAGTTTTTATTGGCCCACTATGTACCACACTGGACTAACACTGAACATGTGGCATTTCTTAGTAGTGTTTACTGCTACATGTCTTTTGATACGTGTTTGCTTTATAGGGAGTTAATCTACCTTTTGCACTTGAATCTCGAAAAGAGTTATCCAGGCTACCCGACATGGAGCGGTTGCTTGCGCGCATCTTTGCTAGCAGGTGGAGATAGAATGTTCCTATATTTGTTATCTTCTCGAAAGGATCTTTCTTGAATTTCTCTTAGTATGATTGACACACACTGATTTGGATCACATGCAGTGAAGCTAATGGAAGGAATGCAAGTAAAGTAGTCATGTATGAGGATTCAGCAAAGAAACAGCTTCAAGAGTTTATTTCTGCTCTACGTGGTTGTGAATTGATGGCCCATCTTTGCTCTTCACTTGGTGTCATTATGGATAATTGTGAATCTAGCCTACTACATCATTTACTGACACCTGGTAAACCACTGCACTGATATTTTTAGCATTATTACACGCGTTCTGCTTGTCATCTTATATATCAATGATATGCAGGTAAAGGTCTTCCTGATATTGATTCAGTTTTAAAGCATTTCAAGGATGCCTTTGATTGGGTGGAAGCATATAATTCAGGCCGTATAATACCTTGTGAAGGAGTTGACATGGAGTATGACTCTGCCTGTAAAATGGTTAAGGAGATTGAGTTTGGTTTGACAAAACATTTAAAGGAACAGCGCAAATTACTTGGAGATGCATCAGTAAGATCTTATCTGAAAGCCTAGTTAATCTTCTAGGAATCTACTTTCATGTTTATTTCTAAAAACAGTAACAACTTTTTTTTTTTTTTTTTTCCTCTGATGGTCTGTTAGATCAATTATGTCACAATTGGAAAAGATGCATACCTTTTGGAAGTGCCAGAAAATTTGTGCAGGAGCATTCCTCGGGATTATGAGTTACAATCATCCAAAAAGGTAACAAAAGGATACCCACACTGAATAGTAGAGATGTAATGTTTTTCCCTTTTAATAGTATTAATGTGTATATATTTGACATTGTAACTTAGCTCATGTTACCACAAGAGCATGGTTTAAAGGTCAGCTAAAAAATGTTATCTATCTTAACTCAAGCCTATTTCTTTGTGGCTGGTGCCAGTGCTTAACAACAGGTTGCCTCCACATAGGAAAAGTCTTGACAGTAAAAGCTTTTGGGAATTGGTTGTCCAACATGGTATTGGATGGTCATGAGTTCAATTGTACTTGTTAATATTTGATTCTAGCGCTGCAAATAGCCCAGTAAAGCCGAGCTTTAGGTTCTTTGCCTTTGCTAGCCAAAATTAAAAGGATGTTTGGGCTTGCTTGTGATTTGATGAGCTTCACCTTGTCAATGGCTCAGCATTTCACCCAAGCTTAGGCTTGACTTGAACTGGCTTGCATGTGAAATATTTATACAGATACATACATACTCAATCAACAACCTTATAAGTTATATCTATATGGAAAAAGCTATAATGAGGCCACTCTCTTGACAGGAGCCATGAACTCTCTTTGTTGGCCACAGGATTGAGAAGACACTCAAGATTTGTGAATGTAAAAACAAAGTCTGAGAATCTTATCTCAATCCTATGGTTCACAAAGAGAGCTCAAGGCTGTTGTCAAAAGGGGGACATATTGATAGCACTTCTCTATCTATATACATGTTGATGGTCTGTATGTATATCTATATATATATTTACCTATTCAATCAACAACTTCAATTAAATGTTACGTTATCCGCTATTGTATAATTGGTTTCGTGAGTTTGTTCGCCAGATCGAAGCATGTATGAACCTCAATTGGTTATGGCTGCTGGTACTTTTAGTCTGTTGGGGTTTCATCTTCCAATATTGATCGAGATGAAAGAGAACAAATGAGTGCAGGTAAGATGAATAAAAGAGAGATGAGGGGTGAAAGTAGATGAGATAGAAGCAGGTGAGATAAAGATGATGAGAGACGGAGTGATAGGTTCTGGTGTTTTGAGAGAGATTAGGTCTTTTCTCATTTAGATGAGTTCCGGGGGTTTGAATGAACTGAGTCAAGCCCAAGCTGTTCATGAATAGCCCGATTTTTTTGCACTCCATTGTCTCCAGCGTCCTATTTCTTTGCCGATTTTCACGTGGTATTTTTCCTTGTCCAAGAGGGGTTTTCATGTGAGGGAAGGTGTAATAGTTTGATTTACAATTGGGACCATTCTTTAACAATGTTATCTTTTGAGGCAACCGGTGCTCCGACATAGTTAAATTTTCCATAAGCTTATGTAGCATGCTTCTTGCTTAGTAATTTAATTAGGTTTCAACATTTCCAAGTTATTCATATGGCTTTTGTTCTGCTGAGCTCTGTTCTCTGTCTAGTAGTGACAAAGAAATTAATACCAAAATTTCGATATCATGTGTATCTTGATTTCATCTGTCATGTCATTTTCCTTCTATTTGGGCCTGCTTACGTTTGCTCAGTTCAGTGGGTTGAACTATATCATACTAAATTTTCATGGATGACTAGATAAAGGCCTGTTACCTAACAAAAGAAAAAGGAGTTGTTAAGTTGTGCTAGAAGATATTCCCCCATAAATTACAGTAACTGTTTTGATATTTTTATATATATTTTTAAACCTCATATTCCACTCTTTTCCTTGTGTGAATAGCTACCATATAAGAGTGGGTAATTGTCGAAAGAGTCATGTAATTTTTTGTCAAACTTGGTTTGTCAATGTCTATGAGTTGAATCATGTAATGTTCTTTGTTCATCAATATAGAAAGGTAGCAAGGACATTGAGACAGGCAATACTAGTTCCCAGAGATTTTACTATGATGTCTAGATATCTGCTTAACATAAATCTTTTATCACCAGCAAGAGTTTCCAGACCAAGTTTACTTAAATCTCATCATTGAACAAGGAGCAAATTAGCTGGTTGGTCAGATGTAGTTTGAAAGATTATATTTTCCGGCCAAAGTATAATTGAACTTTCTTTGGGACATAAAATCTGCTGTGTGATAAAACTTGCATGCATTGATTTACAGGTGCAAATAACTACTACTGTTAAGATTTCTCCCCATGACCAATTGTTCATTTGAGATTCACTTAAAAAATTGTGGTTTTCCATCATTACATGTTAATTCTTTTCCCCCACCTGTGACACCCAGGGCTTCTTCCGGTATTGGTCTCCGACCATAAAAAAGTTGATAGGAGACCTCTCTCAGGCTGAATCTGAAAAGGAGTCCAAGTTGAAAAGCATTTTGCAGAGGTTGATTGTACGTTTCTGCGAGCATCATATTAAGTGGAGGCAATTGGTTTCTACTACTGCAGGTATCCATATCTTTTCCTTTGCATGAATGGAAGATTGTTTAATCATCTTTCTGTTTCGAACCTGTAATTTGTTGTCAAGTGTCAAAGCCCATGCTTCACTTTGGACCTGTTTGTGGGGGGGAAAAAGAAAATATTCATGTCATGGTAGACCATGCTTTGAATACCATAACATGTTAATAGCAAGTTGTGGTTTAAAACAACAAATATATCTCAAGTGGGGCAACTTCCATACATCTTACATGGCTTAATTGGCTGTTATATTTTGCAGAACTGGATGTTTTGATAAGTTTAGCAATTGCAAGTGACTATTATGAAGGACCAGCATGTCGTCCAATAATCAGCTGCTTATCATATCCAGATGAAGTACCATGCCTCAGTGCTAAAACTCTAGGAAATCCCATTCTTAGAAGTGATTCTCTAGGCAAGAATACTTTTGTCCCCAATGATGTTACCATTGGTAGTTCCAGTCATGCCAGCTTCATCCTTCTCACTGGTCCTAATATGGGTGGGAAGTCAACTCTTATTCGTCAAGTTTGCTTGGCTGTCATTTTGGCCCAGGTAAGGCTGTTGATGCGACTTTTTAGGTTTTTCCCCCCTTTTTATGTACTCTTCACCTTTGGGTTCTTTCCCAGGTAGGAGCAGATGTCCCTGCAGAAAGCTTTAAGATGTCACCTGTTGATAGAATCTTTGTTCGGATGGGTGCAAAAGATCATATTATGGCAGGCCAAAGTACATTTTTAACAGAGCTTTTAGAAACTGCATCTATGTTGGTGAGTTCCCATTGTAACTAAATGCAAGTAGTTTTAGTAACAAAATTTTCATCCTGGCTGCCTGAGGACGCTATTTTGATTAATAACATAGACCAACCTTGTATAAATACTTGCATGTTGATGGGTTTTTTTGAGCAGCCTTTCCGATCCCAACTTCTGGAAAGCAAACTAATCGAGCTTTTTGGTTATTTAATTTTGTATTCTTTTCTCATTAACAAATTGCTTTATTTTGTTAGGTACATGTTTTTTCCTTATTAAAATTTAAAATGACTCATGCTAAAACATTTGACCTATCCTGAAATTGATCGAGTATATATTCATGTTGTCAACATTTTTGTTTTTTTGTATGGTTATATCAGTCGTCAGCAACCCGTAATTCACTTGTGGCATTGGATGAACTTGGACGTGGTACATCAACTTCAGATGGACAAGCTATCGCGTGGGTGCCAGTTATAATGGAGGACATCTGAACATGTTTTTGCATTATTAATAAAATAAATTTCCAGTCGATCTCAGTTTCTCTTTTGGCTTGCTTTCTTTGGCAGGGAATCAGTTCTTGAACATTTTGTTCACAAGGTGCAATGTCGAGGACTGTTTTCTACTCATTATCATCGATTAGCTGTGGACTACCAGAGAGATCCAAAGGTATAGTACTTTTTCTTGTTTTGGCAGTTTACTTTCCAAACTGAGATATACTTTACTTTTATACTAGAATGGACTATTTAAATGAGGGTCATTGCTTGGTGCAATGGTCAAGCTTGGATTGCAAGCGTGACAACGAGAGTTCAAGTCTGGGAGAATCTATTTTGTATAAAATAATGTTAAAGGTTAGATCTGTATCAAGTAATCTGCTCCTAAGAATAATGTTAAGGTTGGATGGAAGGGAAGTAATTAGATGCTATTATTATTTCACTAATATAACCTTAAATGAGGGTATTTCTCTCTCCTCTTTCTCCCACTTTTGAATGGAAGCAAAATGGTGGGCCAGGAGGGATGACTCATCCCTCCATCCTTCCCTTCCTTCCAGCTCTCCCTCCTACTAAATAATGGAGCCTTGTTCCATCCCTCCTCTCTATCCTCCTTCCCTCAGCCTTCTGCCCTACCAAACGAAGCATTATGAAGAGTCAAAGACTCTTCAAATGAGGTTATAATTGGCCTTTTTATAAAATTTGATTTTTAATTATAAAATCAATTGTTTTAGACACTCATGAATAGGATAATTAAATTGTGACAGATGATCAGCAATATGATATTTGTCAATATGCTAATAAGATGTACTGTTGATAATTCATATTTATTTTTTCCCTCTAATTAGATGTGTCACAGTTAATGGTTACCCTTCTCTTATTAACTTGGAGTACATATAAAAATCTTCAGCAATATTATCTTTGTCAAAATTAATCAGATGTAATGTTAATGAATTTATATTGGTTATTTTCTCGAATTTGAAGTGTTGCAGTAAATGTTTACCCTTCTCTTAGTAGCTCAGGTGTATCCGTTTTCAGAATATTTTGTCTGATCAATTTCTCTTCCTTCTGGTGTTCAGGTCTCCCTATGCCATATGGCATGTCAAGTTGGAAAAGGAATTGGAGGTCTGGAGGAGGTTACCTTTCTCTACAGGTTAACTCCTGGTGCATGCCCTAAAAGCTATGGCGTCAATGTTGCACGGTTAGCTGGTAAGGTTTATTATGTTTTTCTTGCAATTCATTACAAACTTGAGACCAGAATATTAGTAGTGAAGCTGCAAACATTAGATCGTATTCTTTGCCTGAGAACTATATATACCTTTTATAATTGTTACTTGAATATTTTCAACTAAGGAACCACTTAAAAAATAAGGAGAATGCATGGGAAGAGTTATTGGTCTTTGTCGACTACTTTTTCGACCCTAATCCAGCCAATAATAGCATCTGATCTGCATACTAGAATTCTGATATATTTTGTTTTTTGATATGTGATGAATATGCCAAATATAATTTTCCGCTGTTGAGCATAGGTTAGAATGAAAGTTCTTACACCCAATCATTGCAGGACTTCCTGACACTCTACTTCAGAAAGCTGCTTCAAAATCTCGGGAGTTTGAGGTAACGAATGGTAAACATGGGAAGGGGTCTGACAAGAAGTCCAAGCAGACATGGGAAGAGCAAATAGCAGTTATAAAAAAATTGGTTGAAGTTACTAAAAAAATGAGTTGTCATGATTCCGCTGAGAACATAGGTGTTAACTCGCTGAATGAACTGCAGCACATGGCAAGGATGTTTCTAGAACGATACTAAAAAATTGGAATTTTTTATGCAAAGTAGTCGGGGATTTGTTTTGGGGCTGGCAGTAACATTATAGGTTAAAAAAATCTTTTGCTCGGGCAACATCAAAGTTGTTTTTGTTTCAACTGCCAAGCTTTTGCTAAATGAGCTCTAAGTATTGCTTCCATATTTGGAGTATATTTTCTAGCTGATAGTAGCCGATGGAGATGGAGAACCCGGAATGTAAAATAATATAGGTGTGCCTAGCAGATCGCCACTAGAATCTCAATTTTTGTATGTTGAGTGGGCTACTGCAATGTACAAATATTTTGTTTTGTATGCGTTTAGATATGTTGTGGTTGCAAAGAGGTATATTTGTTTCTGTATCTATCGGAAATTTTGTGATTGTTCCAACCAACTCAAAGTGTTTGGGTGTTTCCAACAGTGTACAAGCTTTTGTCCAACGTTGCATTGTAAGTAAACTCTTGGGTTTTAATATTCTAATAAACATAATAATGTTCATTATGTCTGAGTTGGTTTTGGTCTTGGTTGAAGGAATATTTGAATTTAATTTGTTCCCGGCATGGAGAAGAATGTTTCAACTCATATAAGCCCTAGTACAAACTTGATGCGTTAATTGTAAACAAGTACAACACCCACACACACACACTATTATTTGTTTTAATTTGCCCATTTTATTTATTTATTTATTGTATGTTTTTCTTTTCTAACTAAAAGAGAGTATCATTTCTTTCTACAAAATAAATAATGTAGTTTGACAATATGTAGTTTGTTCTCAAACGGACTAAAACCATACATTTTGGATTAGGGTTGGGAGATGAGGATGTGTGCTTTTATCTTGAATAAAAAGGCCTCCAAAAATTGACACACCTTTCCTTCAAGCTGGGCCATTCACGTCACGTAATAGTAGCTGACTGATTTGGACTCCAAATAGACGTCTCCCATTTTATTCGCCTCTCCGGTATCTCTAGTGTTGGGGACCACCCAACGGTCAAGAACACAAAATTCAACCCAACAGCTGCTTGAAACGGGTACTTGAATTAAATCCTAGAAGCGCACCCACATAAGAATAATGGGACGTAGTAAATTTTGTTGCTTGTCCTCTCCCGCGGGCCATGGCTAATGTTGCTGTATGAATTGTCATGATTGAGTTGTCCACCGTACGTTGTTGGGTTTGAAAATTTGAGCAAAAAGGTTTTGTTTGGTAAATTGGAGGTGATGATGGATTGGTTTATTTAGTTTGTATGTGGGTGATGAGTTTGCAAATTTGATGTTCAAAGTTAGATCGAAACCGAAGATAGCTCCATTAGCATTCATGTATTCATCGCCCTCTTTTCCAGCAACACACCAATCTACTGCTACGTGCCTAGGGTTGGTTATTTTGATGTTATTTGGATGATGATGAGTAACTTTGTGCATCATACCCTCAATCCACAGAGTTGGATCCTCTCACAGTGCTGCATACTTTACTTTTTAACTACGACACTGCATTGATATTCCATATTTTGATTAGGTTATTTTTGTAATTTGCAAAATATTGATTTTAAATATCATGAGGTTATTTTTGTCATTTAACACCCACTTAACCCATTTGTCACATAATTGAAATAACTATTTTAAAGTGTAGGAGTTCTTTTTTTATTTATTTATTTTTATTTTTAATTCAGGTTGAGTTTTATGCACAAATATATAAGTAGAAAGGGATTTTATAATTTTAACCCTTAAGATATTATAGTTGACGCCCCGTGCAAACAATGTGTATCATTTGTCAAAAGAAAATTCAACAAAGAATTAGGGTGCGATTTTTGTCACTGTTCAGCTTTTAAGTCATGACTCGTGACAATTGAGTGTATTATGAAATGGCTTGTACTTATTAGTTGGATTGAGACATCCATTAGATATTGTGTTTCAATAATTGTATTAGATATTTTTGAGATTGAAGATACATATGAAAAAGAATGTGAAATATCTGATGAAATTGGATTTGCTAATATTTTATATTTCAGTGTCATTTAGTGTGTATTTTGAAATTAACGTACGTCACAAATGCAACACTATTCATGTAATAATAATATAACACTCTTGCATTACATTATAAGTATATAACAATCATACAACTTATTACATAATATCCTATCTTGGTAATATCATTCAAAATTTTTAATAGTTGTTCTATTGTCAATTTAAAATTCTTACATTATTAATTTAAAATTATTATGTAACTATTCTATTATCAATTTAAATGTACTAAAACACACTGAACGTATGACTGGATTGGAAAAAATCATTTGGATCGGAGAGTATCATTATTACAAAAAAAATCTTCTCACTCTTGTCATACTGAAAATGACAGTTGTATTATAATTATATATATATATATTTTGAGAAAATAAAGTGTGGACTAGCGAAAAACCATTAGCAGCTCCTGTTTTCCATTAAATGGGTTTAGGAGATCCTATTTAGATAATACAATTGGTGTCTTATACCATTAAATTTAAAGTATGGGACACGTTGATACATTAGTTTAAGAAGGAAAAAAAAAAAAAAAAAAAACAAAGCATTTAAAATAACAAGAAGAAAAGTTTAAAAAATGACCACGTTGTGGTGGGTACTAAAATTCTGTGTGTCAAAAGTGAGTGTGGGCTGGAGAGACTATTTTAATTCCTAGGGAAAAAAGAGCAAATGGAGGAGGAAAATCTCTTATGATATTTTTGGCAACTAAAATTTAAAATTTTCTATTATTAATTGATGTAATAATAATAATAATTATTATTATTGATTGGCACCGGAAACTCACCTAGGTAATTAGGAAAAAAAGAAAAAGAAAAAAGAAACTCACCCAGACAGGACCCTTTGGGACCCACTTTAGACTACAAATCTAGGGATGTTGTCGACAGTCCCACACCTCAGCATCAATTTCAGTCAGGAAATATAATAAGAATAGACGGGCTCGAACCTGAAACATATGACATCCCAATTAATTTATTGTTACTCGGTCAAACACAACACATAATTAAGTATTATTTATATTTTTAGCTTGCTAAAAAAACTCGCATGCTGATGTGAAAAACAAACATTAATGTTATAAAAAAGAAGAATATTGTTAGCTTAGGTGGAGGCGGAGTGTAGCAGCCAAGCCAACCAAGCAGTTCGTATTAGTTGGGCTGAAAAGTCAAAAACCATGCCTTCAACTACTAGTATAAAAAGCGGTATATATCAACAACTCTCACACATCTAAGGCTCATAATTTTCTCGAGAAAATATAACTCCATAATCTGGTGCTTAGCTAATTTGGAGGTGAGGAGGTATTTGTAGTTGTAATGGAAATGGAAAGAGAGATGGAGAAGAGAATAGTGGTGGCAGTGGACGAAAGTGAGGAGAGTATGTATGCTCTGTCTTGGTGTCTCAACAACCTCCTTTCACCAAATACCAAAAGTACCCTTGTCCTCCTCTATGTTAAACCCCCTCTTCCTCCATACTCTTCCTTGGATGCAACAGGTACTCCACTCCCCTCTACTTACTTAATTGTTTGTTGATTCAAAAGCAGTAGATGTAGTACAAACTTAATTTCATTTAAATTATATGCAGACTACTTGTTTGCTGGTGATGTTATTGCAACCATGGAAAATTACGGCAAGGGCTTGGCCAATTCGGTGATGAGCAGAGCTGAAGCAGTCTGCAGGGACTCCAACACCACTTCCGTATGTACTCTATCTATTCTAATTTGAATTTTATTTTACATTACACACACATATATACATATCTCTCTCTCTCAATATATCTCTAAATTGATGGCGAATTTGGACACACACACACATGCATATATATAGATCAAAGTGGAGAAGAAAGTCGGGACCGGAGATGCAAAGGATGTGATATGCGTGGCCGTTAAAAAACTCCAGGCAGATATCTTGGTTATGGGAAGCCATGACTATGGTTTTTTCAAGAGGTACCCCACTACTCAAATCAATCATTTTTTTTTTATTTTTATGGTTCATGATGATCAAACACACAATTATTGCACTCAAGTAGAAAGAAAGACAAAATTCTTATTTACTAATATGTTTTTTAATACTTGGATTGGATGTTTGCAGGGCTCTTTTAGGAAGTGTAAGTGATTACTGCTCCAAGCACGTCGAGTGTCCACTGCTGGTTGTCAAGCGTCCTAAGTTTCTTGTTTGAACTTTCAATCCATTCTGTATTTGTACAGTCATATTTTGGGGAATCTGTATTATACGATTTCTCTATTAATTTCCATGATTCCTGTAAAGCAGGAGTGTTAAACTAAACATCAATTTTCAACTCTTGAGCGTTCTGCGATGCCAACTGTGAATCCATTTTGTTACAAACAAATAATCACACACTATTCTGTTTGAATTAACAAGGATTGAATAAAGAAAATAACATCGTTATGAGGGAAAATAAATAAATAAATGGCATAAAAAGAAAAATGTTAGGTATAGCTCCTACCTACACTTGTTTGGATTACCAAAGAAAAAACAGTTTTTTTTTTTTTTTTGGTGGAAATGCATATCAATCAATATCACTGTCACTGTCACCTCTCTTCTCATGAATACAACTCATTTTTTAATATACTACTAGTTCCGTCCCATTTTAGGCGTCGGTTTCGGGATTTGTGACTCAAGCCAATATCTAAAATGGAATAGAAGTAGTATATTATATGGGTTGTATCAATTAATTGGGCCTAAATGTTAAATTACAGGGATTTGGGCCATTACAGTTAATAAATTCTATATAGGACCCAGTCCATCCCTCAAAGGGCTTGGGCTCACACATGGAACTCAGAAAAAGAAAAGACTGGTGCCATTTAGGCGGGTGGCCACCTACTCTAAAGATATTGACTGGGCATTTGCTCATTCCTACTGTGCTCATGGATCAGGACCTACTTATATTTTTTAACTCAAAAATAATAGGAGATTTGGACTATATATTATTGTACAAATACTACCCCCAAAGCACAGGTAATTAATGGTTGGACCTTCCAATATATAAATTTGTTTGTATTAAGAAATTAGTTAATATAGTTGAACGGTTCTCCCAGTTCCTTCACTTCCTTTCGTTTAGGTGCGAGTATATTGACTCAAGGGGTCTACGAGTGGAATAAGTGTAGGACCCCCATGCTCAAATAAACTTTCACCGTTGGATCAAGTCATATCACAACATCCAGGTCTGTATCACATGCCATTGGATTAGATTTACTACTACTGCCAATGAGATTTACTACTACTGCCGATGAGGAGGAGGAGGAGGAGGAGCAGGTCAAAGAGTAAGCACGTCATAAGATTAAAAAAAAAGGCAGCGACCAAATCTTCTAACATTTGCATTAGTTGTGTTACCAAGTCCACCATTATATCTATCACAAGATGGAGCGGTTAAACAAACTTCTTCTCACACACTCCCATCTTGATAAAATCCCTCCAATCTATTTACTCAGCTCACGTCCTCACCTCCCCCTACTTGCCTTCTCCAATTACTCTCTCCCTCTCTCTCTCTCATGGGCAACTACATCTTATACTGCCAATCACACACCTCTGGTAAGGTCATTCTTTCTGATGGCACCCTTCATAAGTATGACACACCACTAACAGTTGCCGAGCTCATGTTAGAGTACCCACAACAGGTTGTGGTCGAATTCCAGTCAGTTTTGAGTGATAAAAGGCCGAGTCCATTGCCCGCTGACAAGAAGCTAGAAATAGACAAGGTCTACATCATGCTCCCCATGAAACGAGGGAAGCCAGCAACATTATCATCTGAGGAATCCCATCACCTTCTTTCGAGGGCAAGCTCAGTTTTAAAATCTAGGTCTCTTTTATCATCATCAGGATTTCTTCCTTTCTTTGCCCGGATATGCCCTGCAACCACCAGAAAGGGTAACAAGTTTGTGCTCAATAGGACAAAGGATTCAGTGGAGAGGTCAGAAGAGGCATCAATACCAGAGTTTTTCCCTGAAAATTTTGAGTTAGAAAGGCCAGAATATTTAAGCAGGCAACTCTCAGGCAAAGGCTGGAAGCCCAGTTTAGATACCATCAAGGAGAAGGGTGTTAAAAGAAAGGTTCGTCATTGGTTGTTCTAAGCAAGTTGTGTTCAAAAAGGCTCTCAGAGCATGACCACAAAGATACTAATAGAGGTGAGCTGGGCACTTGGGTTTAGTTTCTTATTGTCAACCAAAAATTGAACAAATAGTGTTGCTAATAATAAGTTTATAAGAGTCTAAATATGCTGCCATGTGTGCTCAGTGCATGAAGAATTTTTTTTTTTTTTGATATGCATGTATGTTGTGTACTGTATGTAATTACATATGTGTGGATGAAATTAAAGATGTTCCTTCAAGAGTTTTGTTTTCTGTATCCATTTGAAATAATACACTTGAAAAATGGTTCATATAGTATGGTACAATCCCTGGTCACCCACAAAAATGAAAAAGGCAAACTCATAGTTCTTGGTATGTGACGATGTAGTGTTAGGTGCTACACTTTATTCCCCATTGAGGCATTGATAATTTTACATAAATATAGAGCCATGACACACAAAATTTAAGAATGAAAAGCATTCAAACGAGAGCAAAGGAAAAAAAAAAAAAAACCAAACTGATACAACTCTGCCCAACTAGTCATCCCTTGTTGCTTTAGGTTGGTTTATCCATAAAATCCATATTAGGTTTCATGAGGGGATAATCCAATCCCCCAAAAAAAAAAAACACTACTATGAAATTTTGGCAGGCAACCTCCCTTAAGTATACAATTGCATTGAACGAGTCGCTTGAATCTACATATGTACCCCTCCCCTTAACCTATTGCCATAATTTTCAAAACAAGCGTTTAATGGCTTTTTCATGAGCGTAAAGAAGCTGAGATTAGGGATGTTCCTCTTATTGGTAAACAAAACCAAATAAGGCTCTACGTGCAACTTGGGCATGCTTCTATCAGTTAACTAGGTTGAACAAAGCGAAGTAAAAGGGCATTTGCATAATTGTTAAGAGGGAACTAGAAGTGAAGAAATGGTAAAGAACACAATTTCTACCAAAATTTAGAAGAAGAAAATAATTTGTGGTCATCAGATGATGACTATTGTGTTTAGCTGAAGTCCAATGCAAAGGAATGGGTAAAATTGCATGGGGCAGAACATGTTTTACGAAGTTTATTTACAAATCAAAGGGGAAAAAAATGAAAAGTTTTAAGATTACTATAATTTTTGTCTATTCTACAGAGTTGTACTAAAAGAATAAACCTTAATAAACCTAAGGGTTTGTAATTTTGGACAATGAAGGAAGTGGGTTCTGCAACCCTGGAATTGTAGTTTGGCATAATATATACTTGATTTAGGCGGCATGTATGGAGATAGATATAAGCCAAATGACTTTTTAATTATCTATGCTCACCAACAACAACGGAACTAGTTCCTCGAGAAAAACCTTTAAATCTAAAATTGGAGACCCATACTTTCCAATTAAAGACATTGATTAATTTGATCGACATAAGTGAATAAAAACAAAGAAATTGTGAGAAGCAAGGAGTGAGTGAAATCAGTAATCTCCAACATTATAACGTGTATGCATGTAAAGCTTCAAATTTAGGGTTTTAAAATTGATTGATTAGAGTGATTTCAAGTAGACGAACAAAATTCAAAATCTTTACAGGGAAAGAGAAAAGATACCGTGGATTGTCCTGTCCTGTTGCAACTCGGGAAATGGTCTGTTCGGCTTTCAATTCTTCAAGAAACGAAACCCCTTCTAAATCATGGATGGAGGAAACTAAACCCTAGTTGCCGGTTTCTTTGTAGTTTGTGGGGGAAGTAGAACCGTAGAGTCAATTTTCCTTCTTGTGTTTTTTTTTTTTTTTAATTTTTTTATTATCCACACAACAAACGAGCCCTTGTCTAAGTCGTTTGGAAACACAAAACACGACGAGACCACTACCCTTATAGCCCAAGTGGTGATATATAAAGCAAGGTATGTTCAGGACTTAGGGCTTTAGCCTTGTAACACTTCTAGTGAGCTTCGCAAGGCCCCGGACTTATGAATGAGATTGGGCTTTCCTCAAGGCTTATATGCTGATGGGCCAAGTCTCAATGATTTAAATCAATAAACTATTTAACTACGAATAATACTCCCTCCGTCCCAATATAAGTGTCACTTACAAAGAATAGTAATTTTTAAGGGAACATGTGGGACATGCATTGTCTGTCTGAAAAATTACTAACTTACCCTTTTAAGTTTTGAATATTCAAATTTGAAATTTAAACTCAAAGGACATTTTTGGAATGATGTAAAATATATTGTTTGAAAAAAGTAAAGTTGACACTTATTTTGAGATAAAAAAAAGAAGAAAGTATGACACTTATTTTGGAATGGAGAGAATATATAGCATAAAGATAAAAGAACTCGTCTTCTTTCTTTTGTCACTTAGGAGCCTTACATGAAAGTTTCATGCACGGTTCTAAATGGAAAAAAGAAGTGAGGAATTTGCTTTTCGAGCTATGTCATTTAAAGCTCTCATTTTGCACACTTATTACTTCTTTGCAACCAATCTTGACATTAATTTTTTTTTTGTAATTTTTGAAAATTTCTCTCACAAACACGATACACACACAAATCCTCCTCACTCTCACAAGCCAAAAAGTTTTGTATGGTTCTGAAACCGTTGAACCAATGACACGATAAGAAGCAAGTAAAAAAATCAATTGTATACGTGACAACATGTAATTATGTTAGGATTGGCCCCAAAATCATGGAATAGTTTCTCCACACACACACCCCTGGCGCCTTTCTTGGACGGACGTATAAATAGATTTTTAAAAGCAAAAGGAATTTATACGGCAGGTAGAGTAATGTGTAGTTAATGGAAGAACTTTAGGGAAGGCTGACTTGAGGGTTGGGCTCCAGAAGAAAGGAATATTAAAAGTACTCTCAAAAACACTCTGCTTCTCAACCAAACCTCTCCTTATACGTACATACACTTATCCGACGTTTAAAAGACCACTTTACCTTTTTAATCCCCACACCCCTTTCATCATTACTCATATTATTTTTACTTTATGCTTTAACCCAAATGTTAAAAAGGCAGTGATATTCTAGCCTCTAAAATATTACTCTAGCGCTCTACCATCATTATTAATAAAAATATACGCAGTATATTCTTTCTTACTCTTTCATGTTCCATTGCAAATGCAATCAAAAACATTTTTTTTTCCCTTTTCCCAATCAGTAATTTTGGATTCTTCTTATAACTCTATATCTTTTCAAAATTTAAGGAGCTGTTAGAAATTTGAATGCAAAATTTAAGCCTTTTTTGTTTATCATCTTTTCCATATGTCTAGGTAGACGATTTTGAGAATCCGTAGTTGAGAGATGAGAAAGTAAGGAGTGATGAAATGAAGGAAACCTTAGGGTTTGGTGGAAGAGTAAAAAGGCAAAGAGTCATGAAAGGGAGGAAGAGTTAGGTTGGTAAGAAGAGAGAAAATGAAATAAGGAAAATAGGAGGAAAGAGACTTATTTGATTATTTTAATTTAATTAAAATATATATATTTAGATGAAGTGGGTTTGTATATTTTGGAAGGGCGGATATCAGCATCATGTTAAAAAGGCAAATTTTAGGGGTAAAATCTGTCTGCACCCTCAAGCTCAAAGTAGGACTTTATATGTGAAACAAGTTTGTTACTTGTGAAGCCAAGGTGGGATGGAGAGCTACTACTTTATTTTCAGTGCAAGTGGGGTCACAACCGGCTATTTTGACTTCCCAACTGCTTCCTATTGTCAAAATTTTTAAATCATCCGTCACCTCAATGCCATTCATTTGTCAATGCCCACAAATATTTGGGCTGACTTTTTTTAAAGTGTAGATAAAATAATTTTTTATTTTATTTTTATTTTTATTTTTGGGGACTTGCCAAAATGATACTCAGTACTTTGATATATTTTTGCAATATACAATTAGGGAAATGATAATAACTAAGACTTAGGCAAAAGATTTTTTATTTTTATTTTTACTTAATCGAGTTTATCGAATTGAACATGTAAATTATTTTTTAAAAATTTTAATATTTTTTTTCTTTGTAAATATTTTATGACAACTAAATACTACAAAATAAAAAATATATATTTTACATCCAACCAAATGAAGCTTTAAAAAAAAAAAAAAAAAAAAATTGACAATTCAAGAAATAGAGTGACAATTTTTCTTGAACTTCAAAAATTAGGGAAATAATACTGTAAAGCATCAAGGAAATTTAAAGTAAAAAATGGAAGTGAAGCCAAATCCCCCGCAACGAATGAGGGACGAAACGGAAGTGAGTATATTTGGGAAGAAAATTTGGTACAATCGTTACAACATCAGGTATTTATACACGAATGGAAAATCCATAAAAGGGCATCGAAATTCTAGAATTTTTCAACTCTATAAAGTATAATTGTATAATTCATTAGTTCAATTTTTGGGATGTTTGTGTAAATTTTTATTTACGGATTTTCACAAACACAATATATATACACTTTTATGACATAAGTTCAACTTTAACTTAACTAAAATTGTTTAATTTCTGGATATAGACACGTTAATTTTTAATTCTTTACCATGTTGGGAGAAGTAGAAATTAAATTGAAAAAAATACAACTAATTAGAAGGGATAAAAAAAGAAGAAGAAGAAGAAAGAAAGGTTGTAATATATTGGCAAAAGGTTTATCTCTCCTTTCCAAGATGAAGCAATTAAATGGATAAATATGTTTTCAACTGAATTGATAGATAGAGGTGTGAGGACAATTACCTCCGTTAAAATAAACAAATAAATGAGGAAACTAGCTTTGGATTCTTTTTATTTTATACTTGTTAATGGAATGGCATATACTAATTAATATAAAGGACAAGAACAATATCTTCCCAAAACACCCAATGAATCATCATGTACAACCAAACCAATATATATATGAGCAAGTAAACCTTGTTCATGTAAAATTAATTCATTTTAAAATTAAAGTAAAACCAGCACGTTCCACCTTTGCTGATTTAGGTTCATTGTTTGCCTTTTTGTGCGTGACAGTGTGTGTGTTTATTTTATATACTAAGTAAATGAGATGCAATATATATTATAACTCTTATGTGTTGGGCATTTCAAATTTAAGCTTAGCTAGCAGCAGTCAGTTAGCGAGGCGCACGTCGTTGGCACATGGTCACCACGTGAAATTCCATCCACCAGGCACGTGCGCCGCAGAGACGCTCTGTTACTGTTAGTGGAGTGCTTCACAGGACTTGCAACATTTCTCTAAATTAATTAATTAAGCTGCAGATTCACATCGGATGAAATGAATATATTGCAGATGATTCGTTAAAACTTAAAAAACTAAGACATACAGTATTGATGCCGTCTAAAAGAGAGCTTTTATATATATATATATATATATGAAATGAATGGTAAGAAACTTATCTACGAAGTTGTATAAAAGAGAATCTTTAGGAATTCACGACATATTATGCCCCCTTCGATGCCAACATGTCTAGATCATGGGAGCGTACGTTCCCCATTAGGCATTAACCATAAAACTAGTACTATTTGTTTATTTAACCCCTACCATTAACTAATTATATACTCTATTAT